TWAGGAAATAAACGGGCTTATTTGAAGAGTAAGTTCAATATCTACATTTACAATAAGACAACTTGGCACCTTGTAGATGACCAGCTATGTGATAAAACTCAATAAATAATAGTGTGCACTGGTACGCAGGTATTTATACCATTGATTTGGGATGCCAATTGAAAAACTAAAGTTTGGAACATCTGATTGACTGTTCGAGAATTTAGTTACGAATTTAAAGTTTCACCAGTAAAATAGTATTTATCTTCTTCAAATTTGCCTTTTAGCTTCAAATGAAACCTTTGTTAATAAGTGCGAATGAAGCAAATCCATAATTGCAAATTTATGATTAGGTACACAAATATTTCCGTTTGTTGCCATGCTTTCTTTTTTTATTCAGTTCTACCTAAACATCCCCAGTGAAATGACCCCAATTTACAATCTCCCTGAGGCAGGGTTCGGTGAGTTGATGTAGATCAAAGTTCAAGTAATTTTCGATATACACAAAACATATAAAAAATACAATTCTGAAGTAACTTTTACTTAATTACTAGGTATATTGATGAAAGGAACATTTTAAAATCAACAATAGAAGGGCATTTTTCTCTTTCAGTAAGGAGATGACGCGAACACACAGTGATTGTTAATTAACTTTACAACAAAACAGTTAGATGATAAAATATTAAAAACAATTTACAACTTTATTACATTTTGATTCCTGCACACTAGGGAGTAATTATTTCCTCGCGATTAATAGGGAATAGTCGTGGATAAACGTTCATTTTTTATTCAACTAAAGCAACCAAAGCAATTTGCAGGGTTTTGTTTAAATCATCAACAAAACTGATACGAGTTTGCAATTTTTACTCACTCAATTTCTTATTCTTAAATTTAACTTAAAAGAAACAGATAATAAAAATTAATATTGTACATGAACAAACCGAAATTAAAGATCTCGCGTATATTGAAGCTTTTTCCAAAAAAATCTGTAAGAGACTTAAGACGGGAAAGTGGCTTTGCCTTACTTATAATTAGGCAAATCAAAGAAATTAAATCAGAGAACATTTACGGTTAATAGGTCGACATTTTTGACACAGCCACCCACCAAACATATTTAATTAAAATTATGTATTACTTTATTTCATTTTTCAGTTCAAAGTTTTGAGGCATTTTCAACATATAATCAATTTTGATAACAAACAGTGAAAAGTAGTTAGTATTTTATAAACTTGCAAATTTGGAGAAAAATGTTACTGGCATTTTTTGTGTAGAATTAAATTGACTTTAGTTTTGCGTGGAGTTCAATTCTAAAATGGTGCTCACAGGGTACACCTTTTATTGGTTCTTACAAATTTAAACGATTCTGATGATATTAATATTATGCAAATTTGTCTGAATATTTTATTAAATTGATGCTAATGGTTTGCCACACAAATAATTCGAGTTATAATGTCGATTATTGAATATAACGTATCAGTAATATTCCGACTATTCCCATCAATAACTTAAATTATAGATAATGACAAGCTGCGAAAGAGTTAAGATTTGAAAATACACATATAACATTTCATAGTTCATTCGTTTAAACATGTGTTTAACTTTAAAGGTAGCAAACCCAAACATAATGTCCGGAGTTTTCCAGGTACTTTAATGACATCCTCCTCTAACTCTTTGTAATGGATGCTTAATATTCAAAAGACAAAAATGAGTCGCACCGTGTGTGTTACACCAAAATTAGTTATTTGGTCTCCCCATTTGAGTTCATGATTCAGGAATGTGTATTCTAAAAATCGTGTTTATATTAAATTTGTTGTGTCCCAATGTATTTCACGTGTCTAAATCATGACCAAATACTATTATGTTTGAGTATACTATTTCTCTACAGAAATCGAATAAAAACTTAACATTTCTTCTTATTGGTACCTTTTCCTTTCGCCTTTGTATTAACAGATTTTTTTGTAGCTTCTAACGGGCTTGGAATGTCGCATTTTACAACATTTTCATTTTTATTAGCGTCAACGTCTGACTGAGACTTATCTAAGCTTATTCCTGTCCTATTTCTCCTTCTAGGTGAATGCCTAGTTGCTTCATGTGAACTTTCGGACTTGCAAATAGTAACCGCTAACGTTTCTTCACTTTCGTTGTTTTCTTCCTTCCTAACATCCGTCTTAGATTCTAAAGGATCCGTAGTGACATCATTCAGATCGTTTTTTAGATTAAAAATTTCGTTTTCAATTTCAAATAAATATTTTTCTGCAGGAATTAATTCCGATGTTGTTGAATTTATAAAATTTAGTACAGCATTTTCTATTTCTGTAACAGCAACCACTCCTTTGGTATGATCAATGTCCATTTTTATAGAAGAGAGAATCTTATTAAATACTTCAGATGGAGGTTCAGAATTGCGATATGTATTATTGGATTCACTAAGATTTGGTATGTACATGCTCAATTTATCAAACTTGCCGTTATAGTATCTGATAAAATGTTGCTGGTAATTATAACTGGAAAAAATGTCCGTAGTTTCCATGAGAAGAAAACAAATTGAGAATAAATCATGAGGCACATGAAACATTTCTCTGAACTGTTTATGAAGAGCTCTATCTTTCCATGTAAATTTTAGGGCCGACGACGGTTCGTATTTGTACCAAGCAACTACTCTAGAGAAGTTGGAGCCCAGCAGCTTTCGTACTTTTTCTTTATCAACTCTACCTCTTCGAAAGTAGCTATTTGTTGCACAAGGAATCACTGAATCGATTTTAATTATCTTCGAGATATCAACCTGTTGTTGTTCATTGTCAGTTATACAGGTAATTTCCTTATGAATAATATCTCCCAGAAAAAAACCAATCTACGAAATTATGAGGTTTAAACATTTAATTTTCGGTGTTTTACTGTAAATTCTCACCTGGCGGACGGTAGCTTTGCTGGTTTCAAACAAAAGAAACGACAGTGCTGATCCTGAGAGGGAAACCGAAGCAGGTTGAAACATTTTAATTTAATATACTAAGGAAAAATACCAAATAAAGCAACACCCAAATATAGAAATTGGTCTTCTTCTTTTGCAGTTATCACAGAACGTCCCCTTMGAATGGTAACAAAATTTGGCTAAGTTGATAAGTTCCTCAGATTCCCCCATCGTAAGATGGCGCTATAGAGAAGCGCATGATAATGCAACGTMGACGGTTCTAGATAAACTTRCTGTGTAGTAGAGAATAWYTAAACAACCAAACACATATAAACAAAATTTTAAAAATCGGGGCCCCAGGGTTTTGGCATGTARAGAAATTTTTTTGAGATTGTTATAGCTGAAATATTGATGCGTAATTTTCCATAAAGCTGAGCTTAAGATTCGACAGTTTATATGATCTGCGCCATAGATTAACTAAGATAACTGATCTGCGCCGATACCCATGAGACAATCACAGAACATACCCCCTGGGGATATTTTGTGGAGACAATGAATGCAAGGTAGGATGTTCAGCGGTCCAAAACTCGATTTTCGTGCGCACTGTCGTCACTGGTACTCTCTTTGGTAAAGTGAACAGCTGATCTCATTTAGCAATAGTTCAAAAATGGAAACTTATATGAGGATGTGATTTGCAGTGTTGTATAGCTCAATGCTTTCAAAATCGTGTTTGGGGCTTGATTTAGGCTAATTGCGAAGAACAATACCTTTGTCCTACGTCCTAAAGTCTTTACAGAATCTCTGATTTTCAGCGCTTTAGTTTGAAAAGCAGGAAGCATCAGAGACAAGTCCATAGATGAAGACAAGTCTGTCTTGTCTACTTGTCTCTGGAAGCATGTTTAGATGCGCGGGGCTGGGAACAGGTTTTAATGCAGATTGGATTCTGCGCGTATATTGGTAGCCATGTCACACTAGGTTGTAGGAGCTTGTTTCACTGTTGGTAGTTCTGCACAAAACCAAAACGTCATTAGTCATAAAGTCATAAATGTCTGTGATCATAGAAAATCTAAAAGCAAGTAAGTTGAAATATGTGTAATATAATAATTATCTAGTTACATTTAATTCATTTTTTTACCGGCAGCATACCACCGATATACCAGACAAGTAATTACCAGGAGGTTGATGCATAACGAGTAAGTTAGGTTTGTATGTACGTTATATGTATACAGGGTGATTCAAAATTGGCGATATTCCTCCGGAGGTGTTGTCTGGGGGTGTCTTGGAAGTTAGTGCAGAAAAAATAATAAATAATAAAAAAAATAAATAGAACAATAAATAGAAGTGCAGAAAAAAAAAAAAATGTTTTGATGTAACTCAGATATTTGCAGAACACTAGATCAGAAGGATGGCAACAATGTTTTTCAAGGTAATATGCCTAATTAAGATAACGTAAATACCTGTTCCTTCGTAATTATTAAAAACTCCGGTAACCATGRATAAACATGAAGCAAAGAAAATAAAAGAGACAATAACATGCGTTGAGGTTAGGATAAGTGGTGTTCACCATAGAGAAAGTAAAATAAGTAATTATTTTACTTACTCTATGGTGTTCACTAAGTTGATACGTCAATAAATAAATTTGTGGGGTGCGTTGATAAGGGATCATTAGGTCGAACAAACGATTTAGCAGATAACGCTTTACTTTTTATCGCTCAGGGTTGAACATGGAAACAGCCAATTTCGTATTACTTTACAAAAAATACCATAAGTGCTGCCGATTACAAACGCTAATAAGTGAAGTAATACAAGATCTAGCAAACATAGGCCTTCATGTCAAGGGTGCAGTGTGCGACCAGGGACCTACAAATGTATCTGCATTGCGACAAAAAATTGAAAATAAAAATGTTTTTATCGAAAATTGAAACAAAATTTATAAATTTTATGACACTCCACATTTATTAAAATCAAGACGAAATGCTTTGTATAGGTATAATATTGTATATTTAGAAAATAAAACTGCCAAATTCAAATATATTCAAGAAGCTTTTGAAATAAACCAGATAAGGCGATTTTAAGCCATGAGAAAAATTCACCGTAATTATTTGAATGATTTGAAAAGTAGTCCAGTTATCAAAATGAAAGTATCAATTGAAGCAAAAACCCTCAGCCATACAGTTGCCGCCACATTAGAATCTCTTACTCCAAGATACAAGTTTTTTAAAAAGTGAGACCATGTTTACCGCAGAATTTGTGTGATATATAAACAATTTATTTGATAGTTTTATTGCAGATGCATTACATCATCAAAACGAACTTGCTCTAAGATGTGCAATTACAGGAAAAAGCAAACATACAATTTTGGGGTGGAATGGAAAAGAACATTATACATTGGAAGTTTTGCAAAAAAAATCACAACTGTGAATTTATTAGTGTTTTTCCATTTAAAAAGGGGAGGTCAATACTATTAAATCGACTAGAGAGTTGTGGCTTGATTGTCGTCAAGCAGGATTTACTTTTTTAACAACACGTGCAATCAATCAGAACTCACTTGAAAATATATTTTGCGTTATTCGACAAGAAGGAGTGGGAAATGTTTATCCAAATTGCTTTGCTTAATGTGTAGCTTAAATCCCAGTTTATTAAATAATTTAGTGTTAAACAGAAGCATTGCAAAAAATTGTGAAGATGATAATATGTCACTTAGAAAATTTACAGAACTTTTTAGAAGAAAAATCGCCAAGTTTATTAAGCCCTAATGATTTTATTGCCACTCCATTTCAGCACAGGAAATGGAGTAGGAAAGTAATTGTGACAATYAAGCAACTTCTTATGTTTGTGGATTTCTGTTCAAAAACTTAAAAAAGTATGTTAAWYGTGATATTTGCTACGGTGTCCTTTTACAGAGGAATTAGAACAACATCATTCATTTGTTAGYTTTAAGACGTATGATAATATTAAAAGACTGAATTATGTAACTAAACAGCTAGTCAAATACGTTAGTGACATTTATGATTTAAGTTTTTTTATATTATAAATTTAAACATAAAGGCTAGTGATTTAAAGCAAAACGTTATAATGTGTTTAAGTCAAGAGTGTGATTTTAGTTGGTTTTGTTACCAATTACACAATAAAAACCTTAAAAAAAATTATTAAGGAATATTTGGTTATTTTGGTTAAGAAGTTTGACCAAGATAATAAACATAGCATTCAGGTTGAAAAACAGAAAACGAAAAATGAAAATAAAAGAAGAAAGTTTAGGCTTTAAATTTTTTTTATATGTAATGATTTTCTGCTTATTAATTAATACTGCTTAATTTTTTTTTTGTTTTGTTGAAATTTGATACGCAGTAGTATATGAGTATATATATATGTTTATTCTATATTTAATAAATTAGCTTTGATTGTTATGCTATTGTTACTTTTTTTTATAATAATACCCATGAAAGATACCTAGTTTGTAGTTACAAYACATAAATAAATAAGATTAAAWATGCATTAGAAACGCCCGTGCGAAATCCTTGCTCCGTTAGTTCTCCCAGCCCCCGGCGAGGGCCTGYTTCCAATGTTAACATGTGAACGTCTCGTCTCATTACTATCATGTTGTCATATACTTGTCTTTATCTATGATTACTATATTACTTGTCTCTGAATTGAGGGGCTGGACTAACCTAACCTATTTCGCCTGGTGTCACGCTGGTGTTTTATTTAGTGAAAAATTGTCTCACGAAATTTTTACTTGTAAAGTTCGAAGTGCTGCTAAAATATTCCGAACACAATGGAATTATTTGTGGGAAAACGCTGTGTATCTTTAATCGAATATGGTACTTCTGTTCAAGACCTCGTACTGCACATTCAGAAGGGCATAGTAAGTTTATCTTTATTCTATTCTATTCGAAGTGTAAACGTTTTTGTTCGTGTTTGTTTCAATTAACTTAAACATTCTCTAAATCTTTAGTCCCAATTTCTAAAAAGTTAGGCTTTCAGTTAAATAATTGTTTCGAGCCTATTAGCCCTCATCAGCTGGGTAACTTGCACAGGGTCATTAATATAACTTTAGCCACCCCGTTTTTATCTCTAATTTGAACTKAGGGRCGAATTATAAATACAAAAGTAGCATATATGAACGTCTAGTTTATTTTAAAATAATATTAGTTGTTACAAGATATCTGAAATTCACGTGGCAGACCTACTACATCATTCTAAGTTGTAGATAAGTTCTATATTGTTGAGGCGGATTCATTTTTTTACAAACTTCTTGTTGGTATTTCGCCTCAAAAATTTTTTTTTTGGCAGAATTTCCCCTTTATAATTATATTATTATAAAATTTATTAAATTTCCATCATTCTATTTTAAAAAATGTAAGTTTGGTCTGTACGTGAATTTGAAACACCCTGTAACATTTTACATTATCTATAAGTGAACTAGACGTTAATATCTACAATTTTTGAATTTAATATTTTAGTTTTGATTAATTTGATTTCAATATTCAAATTTGAAATTAATAAATTAATTGGGTGGCGAAAGTTCATTTAATAACCCAATACTTTAAATCGTAAGTAAATGCCAAAATAAAGTACAGGTTTTGAGAGGGTTATTTCAGCCTGAACCCGACTGATTCGCTATAAAACTGTTGAAAATTGAGAATTGATCATATGGAAATCTGTACTTCCATGAGAGTTTCATTGTTCTTTGATATCACTATGATCATATCAAATACAGTTATTATAACATTCATCGTTTTACAGGGACTACGACCAAACGAGTACTATCTAACTTCAAATGGACGAATATTCAATCCAGAGGCAGATGAAATGCCTCAAAGAAAAGTACATATTATATTAAGAACTCTCGGTGGGAAAGGCGGCTTTGGTTCTATGCTAAGAGCTATTGGAGCTCAAATCGAAAAAACCACAAATAGAGAAGCCTGTAGAGACCTCAATGGCAGAAGGCTAAGGGACATTAACGAAGAACAAAGACTAATAAAATGGGTGGAGCAGCAAGGAGAACGAGAGATAGAGGCAGAAGAGAAGAAAAAGAAAAAACTCGAAAAGCTACTAGAACAACCCAGACATGAATTTAAGGATGAGCAGTACGAAAAAGAGATGAGTGAGTTGACTGACAAGATAGAGGATGCGGTCACAAAGGGCTTGGAAGCCTCAACCAGGGGCATAAAGAGGAAAATCGATACTAAAAGCAAACTGGGAAAAAAACCCAAATTATGGTTGGTACTTTTCATAAAATTCATTAGAATAAAATTGTAATCAAACATTTAATTGCAGGATTGATAGTGATATTGATGAAGATCTATCTACCACTGATTCTGAGGATGATGACGAAGGCAATCCGTCTATCAGTGTCATTTGCGTTTCACCAAGCTCTTCTTCGGTAGATCCTAAATGAACTACGAAGGTTGTTCTAGATCTTTTAGAACTACACCAGAATAAATATGTAAAGTCCTAGTCGAACTCGAGACATAGCCACCACGAGTCTCCTAACATCTCTTTAATGCTCTGCAGCATTGGTCCTCACCAGTGAAAGAAGAATGTAGTAATTTTGCTGGCCCTGGTATTTATCCACCGTCGTAACATATTAAAAGTACAAACGCTCACAAAATCCTTCTGTAAAAAAACTAAACGCATTTTTGGGCTAGAATTTAAGAAAATATCTTCCTTATGGGGCCTGTCAATACATCTCAAATCAAATATTTTTGATTGATTTGAAAAAATTACTAAGGTGCCCATGCTAGCAAGCAGCTAGCATGGAGAGAATGCGATGCTATGGCATACGGATGCCAGAGCTGACAAATTCTTAGAGGACTACAAGTTATAAAGCATAACTCGTAGTACAAGAAAGGGGGTTTTTTAGTTGGTAAGAATCCAACACTACCCAGGGTTCGGAACACTGGGTGTCTTCGTGAAGATTTTTTATTCCTCCAGCCGCCGGGCAAACAAAAAAAAAA